TGGAGTCTGAATCAAAAATTGTTATCTGTTAATCTCTGTTGATATATTTTACAGTCTAAAATCATGATAGTGTCTTATCGATTTATTTTATGGTTTGAATGGATGAATTGCTACCTTACATGACTACTGTTTGATTTTGGATTTGAGACATGATTGCATTACCTGATGCATGTTTATTTGCTTATGTAATTATGTTTGATTTGGAAATTGAGACTGAAGGAAAACAGAAAAGTGGTGTGATTAAATAAATATATGGAATGGTAGCCTTACCAGATATCCTAGGAGATGGTGGACGGATCTGGTACATAGGGAACCCTACCGTGAATGTTGTCTCATATCGAATGGGGTATTGAGACTGAATAATTTGGCGCTCATACCGGACGGAGTATGGGAACGACCTGCTTCACCCTCATACCAGACATGGTATTGAGATTTAATAATTTAACGCTCATACCGGATGGGGTATGGGGATGGCCTTATAATTGAGATTGTTAAAGGAAAAGGTTCACGTGTGGCGGTGACATTCTTATGAACCCCCATAGATACTGGTAGGCTGGTGAAAAGAGAAACAGTTATGGTTCGTTTTATTGTTAATGGATATGGATTTATAATATATTATATGTTGCTGATTGTTCATGAAGTTATGATATATATGGTATTATTGTTTTTTATAGGTTGTTTTCATAAATTGCACTATGGTAAGTGAACGAGAAATGATTTTATAATTCATAAATAAATTTACTAAATTTAATGCTGCATTATTGATTTTCGATTTTATACTAATATTTGTTTTTGTACCGGTGATATAGTGTGATATCCTTATTGAGATAGTGTCCGATCTGCAAGAAGATTGTGAGTAGATGCTATATATTTTTTATTTTTCATTTGTTTTCTTATTTCTCGTGTTTCTTTCAAATAATTAATTCTTTAAACTTTAATTTTTTATTTCGTTTCCGCACTTAAGTTATTATATATTTCTTTTTAGATTTACGGAGTTATTACAATTAATTTTAGTATTAAATAATTAAGATATACAAATTAAATAAAAATATAATAAATTTGACTAAAATACAAAATAAATATGTATTTTAAAATAAAAAATGAAGAAAAAAATAATTTGAATAACGTGTCTTAGTTATTATTATTCAATTAATATGACTAAAATTCAATCTAAAATAATTTACATGGTTAAAAATCATGCCACGAGCCCTCTAATAAGTCAGTGGGTGCATAAATAAGGGAAAGAATAAGAAAGGGGTGATGCTGAATTTTTGTTATTGAAAAATCATGAGGTGACATTATAATTTCATCAAAATTTGGCTTAAGTAATTCATATAATTTTCTGAATAAATTGACAATTTTTAAATAATATTGAAATTATATCATTTATACAAAAAAATTCAAGACTTAAACTTCAAGCTAAAAGCTTCATGATTATTCTCTAAATGGTAATTTTTTAAAAATACATTATAATATATGTTGATATTTTTTAATATATAAGTTGAAACTAAAATTTATGTCTCAAATTATTTTCTAAGATATAACTCAACCCACTAATTATTGCCTGATTTATAAATTTATACAATGATATATACATAATTATGTTATTTATATATGTGTGATTTATGTATGGAAAATGTCGACAGCGAACCACCAAGAACTTTGTTCGCTTAAAATAGATTTTCCACGTTAGGCCTATAATTCCATATAACGCCAATATAGAGTTGAAATTCAAATGTATGCGTACAGACAAGCACATGTACGAATTAAAAAACAAACAACAACTCATTTTCAATACGCATAACATCAAAAACAAATCAATTGTGTATATATAACATGGGCGGTGACGGTCGGTTGCATCAATTTGGATTTGCATCATCGTGTCTCCAATACAATTTAATTACTAATCAAAAGATTAGTTTTAGATTAGCAATAATCAATTTATAAGTTTCTGTTTTTCTAAAATTATATTAATAATTATTTTTCTTAATTTTTTGGTCTCAAAATAATTAATTAACATAATTTTGTTTGTGACTAAAAAGAGAACCAAATTATACGAAATACATTTTAATAATTAAACTATTAAAATAATTAGCGTAAATGACTTGGTATTATCGTTTTAAAATTGATTTTTGTAGAATTATTTTGAATAATTTTACCTAAAATTTTGAATACTTAATAATTTATGATGGGACCACTGTGATAGTGAGTAATTTATTTCAAGTAATAAATACTTAGATTGCTTGCTTTATATTTTTCAAATTTCTATTTGAATAAATGACATAATTTGAAATAATAGAATTTAAAATTTAATTACATTAAATTAGAATGTAATAAAAAATTTAGACAAATATAATATATAAATTTTAAGTCAATTCTGTATCTAATTTAAGTATTTATTCATATTTAAAACAAAATAATAAATTATAAATCAATGGAAAAAGTAAATGAAATCTGATCAATTATGTATTAAATATATAAATTATAATTAATTTTATATGTAACTAGTATATAATAATTAAATACGATGAAAATGGTTTATACAAATTTAATTATATAAATTTTTGTCACTTACGAGATTATCCAAAGAATTCATACATAATTAGTCCAGCAGACATTCTGAAACTCTGTGTATGCGTATAAATGTGTGTATATTATATTAATTAATTGTATACAAAAAAAAAAAAAAAAAAGTAATGGCCAAAATTCAATAGGCGGTTCTTGACAACTCTGTTACGTATATTTTAAAATGTGCTCTTTCAATTTTGTGGATTATACCATGTTTTAGGTAGAGAAGATCGGGATAGGCACAGGTGACCATCTCATACATCTATCTTAAATTATTATATAATTAATAAAATAATTTCATCAATGATTATGATAACTAAACTTATAATACAAAACGAAATGACATCTCACATTTAAATTACCGCAAAAATAAATAAATAAATAAATATTTCTTATAAAGTTTTATAAAGTTATTATGGGTTTTTGCTTATTATATATATGTATATTTTAAGTTATTTTATTATGAAATTTATAGTGTTATGTTTATAAATTCGTAAAAATCTAAAAATATAATATTTTTATTTAATTATCACAGAAAATTCAATTATATTAAAATAAAAATTATTATTTGAATAAAAAATAAACTATAAACTTATGATTAGTCCAACTCATAATTTGAATTCCACCAAACATTTAACAGCTAATTTGAACAAATTTATAATTATTAATTTATATTAAACCCTAACCTAAAAGTTATGCCAGCTGAAGAATACGATGAGGCTATGCTCGCATAAAATATTAATATAATTGCTTATTAAATGGTTACCATCTTATTTAATGTTATCTAGACATGTCACTGTAATTATATGCTAATTGCAACTTAGTTGACATATATTTTATAATATATGGTTTATTTAATCAAATTCCATGAACCCACCACCATCATATTATACATACACATATTTTATAATTAAAATTAATAATAATCGTCCTACTGACATAGAAGATGTGTTTGTTTGTTTGTTTTATTGGATAAAATTAGTGGAAAAGAATAATTAATAAACGATTACTATGTCTATAATTTGTATTAGCCATTTAATTTTATAGGGAATAAAACAGGCTTTTTTCTAATATTTCTTTGAGGACTTATTGAATTATTTAATTACATATTTTTATAATTTTATTTTCATGAAAGAAAATAAAGTACATAATCCAAATATCAAGTATAATTTATAATATAAGATATATAAAATTATAAGACATATATAAAAAAAACGAATGTGCATTAATAGTTGATATGGAAAAATACAGTAGCAAAATATCACTGTCACCAAAAAAAGTGCATTAATAGTTTCCGAATTGAAATTCGATATTACTTACTACGTGTCAAAAATATTACATTAGCATGATACATTATATAGCCGTTGTTGGACACGTGTCCTTTTTAAAAGCTCACTGTGGGGCCAGACAATTATTTAAGGAACTCACTGGAATGAATGGTAAGAAATGGACCCCACCATACCGGTTCCCATCAATCACCGATAAAAAAATTTCCGAGACGATCATCACACTTCAGTCTACACTAACCAGTGTAATCGACGGTTGATATCGCTCGGTGGTAACATCAGCATCAGCGTTCATGGATCTACGGCCACGACTTCTTTACGGAGGGAGATTTTAGTAATTTAGTAGTTGGAGAGGAAGAGCAAAGAAAAACCCAGAAAATGATTGGTCGGTCACGGATAAAGTAATTTAAGTTAGGGATAAATTGCAAAAGCGTCCTTAGAATTTAAATCTAATTTTGAATTGAATCCATTAACGTTACAAAATTATAATTCTATCCACATTTTAAAAAATATTACAGTTTAATCCAGCAAATGTTTTTTTAGTGAAATATCTGTTAAAGCATAAATATAATTGAAATTTTATATGCACAATATTTTATTTAGAAATTTATAGAAATCTTAACATAAATTTACAAACTTATCGTTTGGATAATTTGTAAAAAAAAAAAAAACAAATGAAAAATAATATAATAATTACTTAAATAAATAACATTACAATTCACATTAGTGCTTTTTGTCCTCAAATTTATTATACACTAATTAGTTGTCAAACTTTTGGAATTGGAGTTAAAGTTTATCAAATAATAATTTTTAAAATTTTAATTTTAATTTTAATTTTAAGTAATTTTTTATTTTTAAAATATTGTGTATTTTCTTTTAATAATTGAACGTGTTCCTAAAAATAATTGGATTGCATTTTTACGTGTAATTAATTTATTGTAATAAATTATAATGTTTATTTTAATATATATATAGAGATTTAGTTTAATTTTTCAAACTAAAAGATTCTGTTATAAATATAAAAGCAATCAGGTACTTTTGTGTAATTTACTCTAAAATTTATTTAGTTGAATTAAAAAACTCAACCGGGACCCACCATCTCTCTTCCATTAATCAACTAACTCAGCCTATAAAAAACCTCATCGCCTTCCACTTCTCTCATCAACCGTAATCAGTCGGCCATAAACCCCCCAACCACAGCGACTGTGTTTTCCACTTTACCTTGAAGCAGAGCAACAATGGAAGGCAAAGAAGAGGACGTAAGACTCGGAGCCAACAAGTACTCGGAGCGGCAGCCGATTGGTACGGCCGCTCAGAGCCAAGATGGCGGGAAGGACTACAAGGAACCACCGCCGGCGCCGCTGTTCGAGCCGGGAGAGCTGACCTCCTGGTCGTTTTACAGAGCAGGAATCGCCGAGTTCATGGCCACTTTCCTCTTCCTCTACATCACAGTCTTGACCGTCATGGGCGTCGTTAAAGAATCCAGCAAGTGCTCCACAGTGGGCATCCAGGGTATCGCGTGGGCTTTCGGTGGCATGATCTTCGCTCTCGTATATTGCACCGCCGGCATCTCCGGCGGACACATAAACCCGGCGGTAACCTTCGGGCTGCTCCTGGCGAGGAAGCTGTCGCTGACGAGGGCGATTTTCTATATGGTGATGCAGTGTTTGGGAGCAATCTGTGGAGCTGGGGTGGTGAAGGGTTTTGAAGGAAGCGCCACTTTCGAATTGAAAGGCGGCGGCGCGAACGTCGTCAACCATGGATACACAAAAGGTGACGGACTCGGCGCTGAGATCGTCGGCACCTTCGTCCTGGTCTACACCGTCTTGTCGGCCACTGACGCCAAGCGCAACGCCAGAGACTCCCACGTTCCAGTACGTCCTCATATCTCTTCCTTTTTTTTTTATTAAAAAAAAAAAAAAAAAACTGAACTTGGGTTTAATAGAAATTTGAATTACAGTTTAATGTATAATTTTGAACTGCTACAAATTCTGCTAATTACTTTTAGTAATTATATTCCATAATTTTTTTCTTAAAAATATTTAATTGAAATGTTTATTTTGTTTTAATAAATATTAAGATTAATTAGGACATTGATAGTGAAACAATAATTAGTTTTTTAGGTAAATTTATGGGTGTAAAATAACTCCAATAAATATAATACAATAAAAATTATAAAATAAATTATTTACAATTTGGTGAGAATAAATGAAAGTCTTCTTTTATTATTTTGATCATTACTAAACTAATCTAAATTTCTCCATACATAATTATATGTTTGTGATTGGACAGATTTTGGCACCTCTACCAATTGGGTTCGCAGTGTTCTTGGTGCACTTAGCCACCATTCCAATCACAGGAACTGGTATTAACCCAGCCAGGAGTCTTGGTGCAGCCATCATCTTCAACAGGGACAAGGCTTGGGATGACCATGTAAGTAATTAATTAATTATTATAACTTAATTAATCAGATCACCTTAATTACGCACTCGATTAATCATCAATTATTTTCCCGATTAGGAGTAATTGGATTGTGATTGATTTTGTTTTTTGTTTGGGTTTTTATTTGGACAGTGGATTTTCTGGGTAGGACCATTTATTGGAGCAGCACTTGCGGCACTATATCAACAAGTTGTGATCAGAGCAATTCCTTTCAAGTCCAAGTGAAATTCCCAAAATGGGTCTCCATAAAATATGTCATTTAAAATTTAAGATGGTGAAAAATGTAATATCATCAAATTTGAGCCCAGCCTCTTCTTATTTTTTTTCCTACTGGCTGTTTCTATTTTCTATGGTTAATTATGTGTATTTTGTTGTTCTAAGAAATGTAAAAAATGGAAGTTTAGTTTTTATCTTTGGGTTTGAAAAGAAGTTGGCTGAAAATGGTGGGGGCCATTATTGTGTTTGTATGGCTGTGATTTGTGCATGTCATTTTCAAATATAATAATACGCTAATTTCATCATCCTTCTAATTTTATTTATATATTAATAAAAAATATATAAATCTTCATGATTATATTATGAATGGATAATGATCTTAATTTAATATAATAAAAATATAATTTATTGGTATGTTATGAGAATTTTAGTAATTTAAATTGATTAAATTGCAGCAAATTAAATTTATTATAAACGAATCACGCATAATTTAAATATTTATATAAAAAAATTAATTTACTAATTCAAATTGTGAATACATTTACATTATATAAAATTAAAATTAGACCAAACTAAATAAATATTTAAATAGTAAAAGTACTTTATAGAAAGGGGTAGTAAGAACACATAAAACAAATTTTTATTAAGTATTGAGAGACTTTTCAAATTTTTTATTTTTATTTTTTTCAAAATGATATCATTACACTTAATAATTATAAACATAACCATCAAAATCAGGATATTGCTTTTAAGTGATAAAAATTTAAAATTCAAGATTCTCAACTTGAAATCTTATAAATAATATTATCTTCACTGAACAAAAATAAGAACATATTAATTTAAAAAGGATGCATAATTATGACAACATGCAAATTAAATACTAAAATGACTTGTAAATGTTGGTTGTATTGTCACTTGATCTTTTTGTACCGTATGATTGTCTCACCTTATATAAATTAATATATATATATATATATATATTTCCGTTAAGGCATATTCTTTATGCGGTACAGACTGCCGTAGTAGGTGTACCAAAAGCTATATATATATCTTTAAATATTTATAGGATAAAGTGCTGTTGCCTTGTCTAATTTATGATGATGCAAGTCATATATATAGACTTATCCTATGCGCTACTTAATTAACGGCCGGTTCAGCATCAATCCATTTCATTATGTTTTACCAAATTTTTAATGGGTCAAATCCTAGTATTATCAACTTTGTGCAAAAATAAAACTGAGTTATTTTGTAAAATTAATTTTAAATATAAAGTTTGAATTGTCTCATTTATTATTTTCGTAAATATCCATTTAAACTATTAGAGTTTATTAAAAAAATAATAAATAAAAATATTGGTTATAATTTAACACCAAAATATTATAGTAATTAATTTGAATAATTTTAAATAGTTTAACCTTTAAACTTTGATGTTTATGATGACACATTTCTATTAATATAAAAATGTTAGGTATTATGTTGGTAGTGATGACTTATTTTTTTTTTAAATTAAAATATATGTTCTATGTCAATACAAAAACTAGTACGTTTGAATAATTATATATACAGTACATGTAGTTTCTAAAATATAATAATTATGACTTCTTATCCAAACTAATGAAAAAATAATTTTATATCGTGATTTGTATGAAATATATTTAAATTTATTATATAATTATTATTACTAAATCTATGCAGTATTTATACTAACATTATATAATAATAAATTAAATAAATATGTAATTGATAACACAATAATCTAGTTGTTAAAATTTTTATATTCTAATTAAAAATTATGAATTTAAATTTTAGAGTTATAATGACTAAATTTAAATAAATATGTATGAAGAGAATATTTAGTGATTATTAAAGTAATTTAGTAAACTTATTAAATTTTTAGGTAACATAAAAATTTCTTATAAATTAAGTTCATATAATTAAGATAATTACAAATAAATTGACCAAATATATTTCTTCTGAAAATGTTATGAATCTTAATTTTGTGAATTTACTTAAATGCATAGACGAAGAAAATAAAAGTTCATTATACATATTTTATTTTCACAAATTAATAGTGTTAATTGCCTTAAATAATAATATAATGGGCCCCCCACTAATAATCTCAAGCCGACTTAAAGGGCTTAAGCTGAAGCTGAAGCCTAATGGGCTTATGTTATTTAGGCTCATATAACAATGCCGGCTTGGGCCCTTTCGTGCTTTTCTTAAGCTCAACCCAAAAGTTGCTTAATACCTTTTCACTTTGTTCTGTTCTTCGATTCTCTTCATCGTCTCACTCGAAAACCCTAGCTGTCTATCCCCTTCGCTCTCGCCTTCGTTATTCTTGTCTTACTTTCGGACTCCCAGCAATGGCGTCGGCGGCGGCAAGCGAGCACACGGTGTTGCAGTTCGCGGCACCGTCGACGGCGGCGACAACGTCAACGAGCTTAACGGCGAAGGTCCACCCGCTGGTGATATTCAACATCTGCGATTGCTACGTGAGGCGACCTGACCAGGCCGAGCGGGTCATTGGTACTCTACTCGGCTCTGTCCTAACCGATGGCACCATTGATATCCGCAATTCCTACGCTGTTCCTCACAACGAATCTTCCGATCAGGTGCTCCTTTGCTCTTTCTTCAATACTCATTTCTCTTGCCTTCAATTAGAACATTGTGGAAAATTTTGTTTGTAGCATTGCCGGACCTTGGGAAAGAGAAAGGGAAGGATGTCAGTGTTTCGATTACGAGTTTTGTCTGGCCTTGTTTACTTGATCTGGTTGGTAGGTTGAGTAAATGTGGAGAAATTATAGCCGAGTTTCGGTGGTTGTTCGCTTATATAGATGGGGTATGACTTATCGTATCTTCATGAGTTGATACGTTGGTAGTCAATCTGGAACGCCATTTAGGGTTCCTCTAGGTGTAATTGAAAGCTTTGAATTGCTAGTATCTTGTTGTCAGTTTCCTTATATCGAGCTGGTCGTTGAGGATAGCTGAAGTAGAAAAAACGGGAGAGTTTGGAGTCAGCTTTAGTTTTGTGATTGTTGATCTAAGAGGTGAAAAAAATTGCACGTGGTTATTAGAACTTTTTATGTTTGGCTGCGTAGAATGCTTGAAACATCAGAAAAGAATGTTGAAGAACTTGAGTTTCCAGCACATTTTTGCTCTGGATATGGATTTAGATGCATCCTTTTGTAATGGAGTGATTATGAACAGACTGTATGGTTGTTTTCATCTGATGGAAACGGGCTAAAGTTATGTTGAAGTTGAGTTATTTCGAACTAGAGAGGTGAATGGTCTCTCCTGGATTGAGCTCGGAAAAACACTAACATTCTCATCAACAGAGAGGTTCTTGTATTTCTTTAGGAATGATTGTCCGCAAAATCAAGAATGTTCTTGGTGTCACCTGGCCAGCTTCTTCTTGTGGCCCTCCTTTTGCATGAATGAACTAATGTTACGTTTCTGCATTACTTTTGGCTGCAGGTTGCTTTGGATATTGATTATCATCACAATATGTTGGCATCCCACCAAAAGGTGAATCCAAAAGAAGTGATTGTTGGATGGTAATTCTCATCTTGCTTGTGAATCGAAGGGTGTTTATTACATATCATACAACAGGGTTTTTCTTTGATAGTTTGAGGTTCCTTGAAACCGTCTGGGGCTAGAGCTTCACAGTTGCTGCATGAATTTTAGATCCTATGGATTTAGATGTTCTTGGTTGTTATAGGAGCATTCTTTAGAGGAGTTAATGGACTTATTATATTATTGTGCCACTGTAAATGTGTAAACAGGTATTCGACTGGTTTTGGGGTCACTGGTGGTAGCGCCCTGATCCATGAATTCTACTCCAGGGAAGTGACCAACCCTGTCCATCTAACTGTGGACCCAGGATTCAGGAATGGAGAGTGTAACATAAAAGCTTATGTTTCAGCCAATTTGTCTCTTGGAGATCGGCAACTTGCTGCTCAATTTCAAGAGATTCCTCTTGATCTTCGCATGGTAGAAGCTGAGCGTGTTGGATGTATGAATACTATCTCTTTTTAATACTGATAATATTGATTACATTTCTCTTTGTTAGAGGCATAGTAGCTCTTCTATAAGATAGCGAGAGGGATTCTGGCCTTTTGAAAAGTGACTATTGCCGATAACATTGATGATATCTCTCTTGCCATGTGTTACATGCACTTACATGTACTGTATTTGTTTGTTCTCTTACTTGGAAGAGGCGTAGTAGGTGTTGTAAGATAATGAAAATAATTCTAGCTTTTTGAAAAGGAACTATTATATGAACATTGTCAATAAAAACAGACTAGAATTTTGGCTCCTTATATGGAAATCATGAAAGTGGGTGTCCTCTAATTGTCAGCTTTCGTAGAACAAGAATTATCCATGTGATGAAGTGAATGACCATTTTAGTTTGTACTAACTTTGTTATTGATGTAGGTGTGTAGGTGTCTTCTTTAGGATAAATTTAATGATTTTTTTTTATAACCAGAATACTTTGAATGGTTTTCAAGCTTGCTTTACTGCATCATCATGAAGAGAAGGAATTATATTTCCATTGTTCTCTATTTTTGTGTGTGTGCTTCTTTTCATCTTTCTTGCATTGCATAATTAGCTGTATTTCACTTTGGCCTTAAAAAATAATTCTTCAATAAGTGTTATTATGTTGAAACATGTGGTTAAATTTGGAGTTATAGTGCGATTAATTAGAAAGCTATTGCCTTTATAGTTGACATTCTCAAGACAACGGCAGTTGACAAACTTCCTAGTGATTTAGAAGGAATGGAACTCTCAATGGAAAGGCTACTAGCTTTGATTGATGATGTATACAAATACGTTGATGATGTTGTGGTGAGTAGGATGTTACTTGCCTTTCTTTCTTGTTCTTATTTTTTGCATTTTGTTTTCTCTGGGTTGTATGGGAAAAGAGCATCTCAATACTCTGTGATTCCCATTCTCGGGGAGGTGATAGCCTGATGTTCCATTCTTCCCTGCATTTATCTAATGTTTTATGTTATTTTTAGGAAGGGCGTGTTGCACCAGATAACAGCATAGGGCGATTTCTAGCAGATACTGTTGCATCTCTTCCCAAATTGCCACCATCAGCTTTTGATAAGCTTGTGCACGACAGCTTGCAGGTAAGGCTTGGTTTAAAATGTTTTATAAATGTCATTGGTGCAGAATTGATCTTACCTACACCCAGGTTGAGCAGGACAAGGATCAATTTTAGTCATTAATATTTTCAAATCCTTAAGCTTCCAGTTCCTTTTATTTCTGCAACCTTAATGCTTAAGGCATTTTTCTACATATATGAATATGGTTGGTCCTTTTCTTGGTTATTGCAGGACCAGTTGCTTCTTTTATATTTGTCGAGCATCACCAGGACACAACTCAGTATAGCAGAGAAATTAAATACAGCTGCTCAGCTGCTGTAAATTTTCTTTTACCTGTCAGATCATAGGAATCAGTCTGTCTGAAACAATTTCTTGAGTCTTTTCCAGACTGCTGGTGATATATATCACAAACTGTGGCAGACAAGGGCAGTGATTTTTGTTAAAAAAAAAGCTGTAATATTTTTTTTTGGGCGTGATATTGAGTAGGCAAAATTGTCTTCAAATTTAAAGAGATTGTTTTATAGTTGCTCAGTTACCATTGAGAAACAATGTATTCCCCAGTGAGGTTAAGATTAAATTCTCTAATTTTCCACTTCTCAGTTATTTCTTGCTTTATGATGTCGTAACAATTCCATTTATTTAACCCATTTTGGTTGGTACTCATCTAATGACTTCAGACTTTTTTCTTTCCCACCCGAGTATGACTACTGTATAAGGTTTGGACGTTTTGAATTTATTGGATCACTCTGGCATAATGTGGGAAGTTTCTGTTGCCTATTTCATTTTGTGAGGTGGGACATATTTTATTGCTCTTACTGAAACGCCCACCCTAGTTCATCTGTAATTTACCCTTCAATTCTATTCTCTCCATGTTTTGCATTTCTGACTCTTGAACCTTCACTCAGTATATGCAATTTTTACAGGTGGTTTATTACTCTCGGCATCGTATTAAACACTATCCAATTTGCTTTCCTCTTGCCAACCAGATAATGGGGATAGTATGTTCTCTGTTGTTTAAACTTTTACCCTCATTCATCTCTTATTTTTCTTCATTTTCATCCTCATTAGATCACCCCAAGCAATTTTTTCTTATGAACTAAATTCTAATAATTCGAGAACAATAAGTCTTATAGAGTATAAACAGTCAGTTCAAACATTCAAATTTTTTTTATTCGATCATTAAAGTAGAAAAAAACTCACTAGAACACACTGAGAACAAAATGTCAAATTGATGGTATGAAAAAAAAAAAAAAAGAATTTAATATGAATTATTCACTTCTTCTTTCAAAAGAATTTAATTTTTTCCAGTTTATTTATTTATTTTTTTTCAAAAACTAAAGTTCTTTCTGCATTACTCTGAATTTTACATGGGAAATTATACAAAATTTCCTTCCTTTTGGCATTAAGATTTCTTTGTGCGGAAATGAGAAATCTCTCTGCTAAAAAATTCTGAAAAATGGTTTCCCTATAAATTTCTCTTATTTTAAAAAAGAAAAACCCCATTTAATTTATTTATTTTTAAAAAATATAAAGAATTTCAAATTAACAAGAGCTTGAACTATACATAGATAAGATAAGTAAAGCATAAAAAGCATACATATTATCAACAAGACCACTCCTAGGGATTTGTTGTGCAGTAGAAACATGACGACAAGCATGCAACAAAGCAAATATACTATTATATATCAGTCAATAATCCCACTACTAATACATCTATAATCTCCACTGCTTGTTTATATAATTAACATTACTTGGTGTGTATATATATATATGGTACAGCCTAGATTTTGACTGATTAATTTGGGAAGGCGTCCTATGATTGAGCTTCAAGAATGGTGGGGGTTTGTCCATTATTATAAGATGATGAAGTGAATTCAGCATGTTAGTGGTAGTGCATGCCTTTTTTCCCTCCTCCTTGTCCACGTAGTGTTTGATCTTTTATGTTTATATTGCCGACAAACATGGTGCAAAAGTGAAGATCATCAAGCTATTAAATCACGCGTGCCCCATTTTTAGCTTATACCCTTATATACATACACTCTGTCTCACTTATAAGTATGTATATACCCACATATAAACTTGTATGGTTCTAGTCTCCCAACTTGTAGAGTTGCCTAAGTTATTATTAAATTAGCTTATTTCTTTTTATGTTCAAGTTTTTAAGTTCTCTATTGTTTCACTTGTAGATGGATGCGCATGTATGTGTATCTATTATACGGGGGCATGCGTATATATATTCGTGAGTTCATATCTAGCATAGGATCTATGTTGGACAGATAGAAATGACAAAGGAAGAAAAACACATGGGCACTTTTATCAATCTCGGACCTTAAAGCTTCCTGTGACTGCTTCTCATTGTTCTCTTTACATCTCAAACACATGGGTTCTTAATATTCGAATAATAATAATAATAATGTTGAAGAATATATATATGTATATGTATAGTATATGTAGATAAGCGAAGTGGTAGGATTGGTAAGCCTAGAAGTTAGAGAAGAGGAGGAACCTGTAATGCCAAATTGCCAAAAGCTAAAGACAAATTAATATCATTTTTAAATTATCGTGAATACAAACATCTTTGGGAATTGTGGGTAAGCAACTAAAAACAAATTAGCCCTACACTTCTTCCCTTGACTTAAATCAAACACTAAACAATTGTAAAATAATATTAATATTTTTGTAATTAATGACAATAATTATGTAACAAATTTGAAAATTGATTTAGTATGTGTTTTGCACTCAATTCTCCATAATGATTTGGGATATTTTAGTAACTTTCTTCAAAATTTTAGGGTTTTGTTTTACTTAATTATCAACTTAATGTATGATTATCTTAATATATTATTTACTGTACATTAGTTATCTTCAATGTTTCTTTCACAACTACATGGTTACCTTATCAGCTTCTCTTATATATATATTTACCGTTTACATTCAAGGTCTAAAATTATACACCGACTAAATTTCGTCCTCTCTCTTTGAATTAATCCCATATCTATAAGGGTTCAATTCCCATATCATGCAAAGTTCCAAACTTTGATCCACAAGTCTTGAAACCCTAAAATTCTTATTCAATTAGGTTAAACACATACATATATATAGAAACAAACCCTTAAATCTTAATCAACCAAAACAAAAAAAGTGGTCACTTGCTAATCCCTTAGCTAAGAATACAAAGCAAAAATGTGAGAGTCATTAGGCTTTTTAAGTTCCCCAAGTTTTGAACCCAAAAAAAGTTTTGATGTGCAAACCCATATGATGCCTTAAAAAAATTGGGTATGTAGTAATTAGCCAAGACAGAAGCCCACTAAATGACATAACAAAAATCCAACTTGCTTTTGGCTGCTCATCACTTGTCTCTCATTCTCCCCCATAAATTAATCAATTCCTCATTCTTAACTTTTGTGGTTTTATTGTCTTCTTCTTCCTGTTTTTCACAACCCTAAAAATGGTTAATTAATTAAATTAAAAGGTAATTAATTACATTAAGAGTGTATTTATAATTTTATTTTTGAAAGAAATACATTTATTTTACTAGTTATGTATCACGTACATTAATTATAACACAATTTTTTAATGAAATTATATAAAACCACTTAAATTCATAATTTTATATTTAAAAAAAAAGATATTATAACCATAGACTTCTAAATAAATATATTTTATAATGAGTAATCACCTACTCATGCAAAAAAAAAAAAAAAAAAAAAAGGAGTCAATTTGAGAAAGCTTAAAAATTTGTAGTTGGGTTGTGGTCAACCAATCTAGTGGTCAGTGGAGTATCTGTGTCAGGAGTTTGTGATCACAACCCTCCAACAAAAATCAGACAATTTCTGAAAACTTTGACTTCCATTTCCATATACCAATCTTCTTATTTGCCACTTACCCACTTAAATTAAGAAAATTAATTAATTAATTAGCAGATAAATCCACTATTTTATAAACAAATTACTTTGGATTATTCACATGTCTTGGTAGTGTTGGACACACTAGCTAGAATTATTGAATTGAATTCACACTTAAACACTAATTACCAACACATATATGCATTACCATTAATTAATTAGTTGCATCGATTGCTTAATTAACTTTACTGAAAGACACAAAAACCTAACTCCAATTAAATCTTTATAATATTATATTATATTATATAATAATGTGAAAAATATTCATAAATATTAACATCAATAATCAATTCGTTGGAAAATAAATGTTATTATTTTATATATTCTTTAATAAAATATTATTTTATTTATTAAATGGTAGGAGTATAATTTAACTATTAAATAAGAAAATAATGTGCACTATTGTGCCTAAGAGAAATTAGAAGGTTTGTAAATAAATGTCGATTAATTTAAAATAAAGTTTTTATATGTAAATTATTTTATATAAAAGTCATACATGATAAAATATTACAATATTTTATACATAATTTCTGAAACTTACTTCCTGTCTGCAGCTTGCAGCCCAAAACTTTGAATGGTGGCAGCTTTTGCGCATGTCTCGTATATGTGCGTTTATATATATATATAACTATACATATAATAATATCACCAATCTCATGTTAATCCCAAAAATCAAAGCTAATTACTTTTATATTCTATACATACATACATACATGTATATATATATATATCTACAAAGATGGTTGATTCCACTTTGCCTTGTACTGCTTAAAAAAATTTTAAAAATTAAGATAAGCCAACTGAGTATTATATATATATATACACACACGAGCTCTCAGTGTCTTTTCAGTTCAGATCGAGTACAGAGATCAGAAGAAAGTTTGGACTAATTAGAGGGTTCCCACTTCCATTAAAGCTCATTTTAGAAGCTTTAGACACACACACATAAATATATATAATATGGAGGAGAGAATTTCGGGCTTTTTCGTCAAACCTGCAGGAGGAGCCAACAACAACAACAACAATATTCGAGCTCGAGGTGGTGGCAACAATGGCGGTTCAGGCACAAAGTGTGGACGGTGGAATCCGACGACGGAGCAAGTAAAGGTGTTGACAGACTTGTTCCGGTCGGGTCTCCGTACTCCTAGCACCGATCAGATTCAGAAGATTTCAACTCAGTTGAGCTTTTACGGGAAGATCGAAAGCAAGAATGTTTTCTACTGGTTTCAGAACCATAAAGCTCGAGAAAGACAGAAGCGAAGAAAAGTTTCTGTTCATCAAGATGATCAAGATCATAGTTTTTTTCAGTCCGATGATCATAGCAGATTGCTGCTTTCATCTTCTGATCCAAAACGTAAGTAATCATTCTGACATTTATCTGTCATATACATCCATACCTATATATACCCATATATATACATACTCATGTAAACTTGTTATTTGATAATGAATTGAAGATTTGGTGGAGGTAAATCATCAAGGATTAATGTCAAAGCAAGAAAGAGTGATTGAAACCCTGCAACTTTTTCCATTAAACTCCTTTGAAGAATCAGAGAAAGAGAAGATGAGATTACATGCAAATGATCGTCATCATCATCATCATCATGCTACTCCAACAACATTCTCATCATATTCATGTGGGACAGAGATAGATCATCACCCACCTTTGGATCTTCGTTTAAGCTTCCTGTAAAACAAACAGATCATGATGATCTTCAGATGTTAGTGAAATTAATTACCATGAGTAGTTTTAGGAAAAACTAGAGTTTGTTTTTTTTTTTTTTAAATTAAATATTAATGGAAATAGGGTTATTATAAGACATTCTCCTCTACATGGTAGCTAATTTATCTGTGTTTACTCTGTTGGATTTTGTTTTTGGGTTTTGGGATGCTTGGAAATTGAGAAAAAAAAAATTAAATTAAAATGTGCTTCCTCCCATGGGAAATGTCTTCTTGAAGTTGGTAAAGATATTAAAGAGTCATGCATTTACCTAGGGTTTACCTCCTTATTTTGTATGTCAACATACTTTTACTTGGTCAACAAGTTTATCACTCACTCTTTAGTTTTAATTATATATATATACATATATAATATATCTACATATGTTAAAACTTTACTTACAAAACCTTTGTTAATGTGTAAGCATTGTATTATACTTTTAATAAAATAATGTATTGTAGATTAAAATAAAACATTCATATAAATTATTTTTAATATTTAAATTAGAATAATTGTTATTAAGTAAACATACATATTAATTGTAACGGTCCGTAACTATAAAGGAAATAAAATCATAAATTGAATACAAAATCGAAATAATAGCGTTGGGGTTTACATTTCTCACACAATAATTCAGAATATCCAATAGGGTTACGAGAATGACACTTATAAAAAAATAACGAAAAATCAAAGAAATAAATGTAAAGTAAATAACTGGACATCTTATTTGCAATCCTCTTATGGATCGAGATCTGCATCTTGGTCATCTTAATCTGAAATGGTTAATGAAAAAGTGAGTTACACTATCCCAATAAAAATGTCACACTACCCACCGATATAAAAATGAAGGTTGGTAAAAATAAGGAAAACAACTAATGGATATCTTAATTTAAGTAAATTCATTTATCACAAATAAATTCATTTATCATGAATAAAATAATTTATTGTATATTTACCGTTGTAAAATTTCTAAAACTGACCTATAGAGACATTAACACAAACATATTATAATCTCATATTCAATTAACCAGAACAATTACTTTCTATTTTTATCTGCCTACTGGTATCCAGGAGAGTCCATAAAGATATCCCTATTACGCGTGAACCCTTATTCAACATTGTGCAACTAACGGGCCGTCCACATACCCCGTCCGGTATGAATACTAAAAATATCATCTCTCAATACTCCGTTCGGTATGAGGGTGAAACGGACCGTCCCAATATCCTGTCCGGTATGAGCACCAAAATACCAATAATCGATACCCCGTCCGATATGAGGTAACGTTCACGGTAGGGTTTCCTATGCACCTGGTTCGTCTACCATCTTTCAGAATATTCAATAAGACTACCATTCACTCATTCACTTAATCAAACAATTTTTCGTTTATATTTAGTTTTTAATTTCACAATTTAACTGTAAATCACGCAAAACAAGCAATATATGCATTAAGAAAACACATCTGAATCATCTTACTAACTCCAGCGTATTATCATATATTTAAAAATGTAAAATCAATCAATTAGTTAAAATAGGATAAACAGTGATAAATGACTACTTTCAACTCTATTAGTAACTTGTGGTTAATTATCGAGATTTTTTAAATTATGCAAAATGTCATATTATTTATAATTAAACTCCAGTTCCACAACAATGAATATGGTGAGAGATTCTTACCCAAATCGGTGTCCGAACACTAAACTTTCAGTTGCGCCTAGTGACGGTCCCTAAGTTATCTGAATTTTCTTTTATAGATTAAAACATATTTCAAGTACCTAGAAATACTCTAAAAAATTCAAAATCGATGTTAAAATCCTTTTTCGGCCAATTTTAAAATTTCAGCATGACGGTACCACCGTGCTCCGGTGACGGCATTGACGCCCGTGGCGGCAATTTACCTCGGACTGGTCTTTTTCGGCCGATTTTATACTCATTTCTACGAGAAAACACGTTAAGGTGCATCGATTTGTTGAAAAAAGTAAAAAAACAGAAGCTTACCGGCGATAGAGTTTTTCGGTGCAGTGGCTCACCTTCGCAGTTGGGTATTTTTCTTCGATCAACCTATGAAAAATAGAATGATGAGTATAATGGTGAAAAAATCGTAGAAAACGGGAATCGGGAAGGGTTTCATCGAGGTGATTTTTAATTTTTTTCGCGACGGCGCCACTGGACTTTACCTGCGATTTTCGGCCCATCTTCCAGTCATTTTGCTCTAATTTGGCTATGGGAGTGTTCAAAATAAAATTTCAAGCGAATGAGAAATTTTTTACCATTTTTGGCGATCGGAGGTGGTTCCGGCACGGTGGCGGGTGGCAGTCGGCTTCATTCTCTGACGACTGGTTCTTCTTCTCCGATAGGAGCTGGCGACTAGGGTTAGCATTTAGTGTGAAATGATATATTTATACCCATCTCCCTTTAATCTGGGTCGTCCATCGAATTTGATCTCAACCGTCCGATCACGTTTAAAGAGAAAATGAATCTGCACCGTTCATCGCGATTTGATCTGGACAGTACGATTGCGTTTAAAGAATGAATGAATTTGAACCGTTCACGTGTGCGAGAACAAATCTGAACTGTCCAATCGCAGGCACGCAGATTGCCAGCATGGCTCCCTCCCCCCGCATGGCACCGAGTCAGCGTGTTTTGCCACGCCGTGCGCTCCAGTTCGTCGAGACTGCTGATTGAGCGGTCCTACGTGGTATTTTTTTGAAATTATATTTTAATCCTTTAGTTTTCGATTTTTCTTTTAAAAATATTGTCAGAATTTAAATTTTCACCTATTTTTTTAAAAATTATTTTTAATTTCATTATTTACCTATTTTTTTCTAAATTTTATATTAAATAAAAATTTAAAAATTTAAAAATTATATTTTATATATTAATTTTAAAATTAATTACGGGTATTCTCGCACATAATTTAAGCCCCTTTTTAGATTAGGAAAGACATTGAAGAAAGTTTCTAGTTTTTTGGTTTAAATTTTGTGTTGAAAAGAGGAATTTAATTAAGATGTTATTGTAGATAATAATTTTTATATAACTCTGTCCAAACACTTTTCTAATACCTTATATTGACGCATATTTTCATTTTTTTTTTTAAATTGAGACAGTATTTTTTTTTGTCAATTTTGATTAAATAAGTAAATCAATAAGATAAGAATTTAGTTATGATTTTTGTCATTAATCTTAATTAATATGATTTTTGATGTTTAAGTTATTCTCGTCTCATTTTAAATTCTTTAATCTCATAAATTTATTTTCACTTAAAAAGATAGAAATTAAACAAGAATTAAACCAAATGCAATTTTTGTACTTACTTATTAAGAAAGTTTTTAAGAACTAATTATCACTCCCCAAATTTTTCTGTATTACATTAATTATTATATAGCTTTTTAATAAAATCAATTTGTAATCTCTTAAATAACGAGAAAAAGTACTAAGTTATTTGATTAGAGAATGATTTATAAATTTGAATAATTACAGAAAACATCTTATACACGTTTAAATAATTACTGAATTAGTCTATAAAATTTAGTATTTAGTACAATTTAGTTTTTAATATTTTTTTCGTTATAAT